AGTACTTGATGTAATCGGTCACTGAAAAGCCCCAATGTGGGGAGTGAGCTGAATAATAATGTAATGTTTCCACACACATATGCATTGCATGAAGCAAAATACAATATAAATACAAATACAAGTGAGTTTAGCAATCTTTCACAACAAGTGCATAATGAAAATCGTACAGACGAACCAACCATCCAAAAAACCAACCAAATCAGTTATTTTCTTCGATATTTTAATTTTTTTCGCGGTTCAAGTCCAACAAAAAATTACCGCCAAACTCGCAAATGACGTTTCCACTTGGAAGGAAGTTTGATCATCATTCTTCATCATGAGGCGAATAGGAAGGAAATTTTATCATGGTGGAAACACTGCACAAACATGGCGTCGCGTTTAAAGATACGGATACACGGGCAATACTTTTCTGGCGATGGCAATGCAATGGTGGTAAAATCGTTGCATTGCCGTCGCGAGAAAGAAATTGCTTGTGTATCATGCTCTGCGACGGCAACGCAAAGCTGCGCGCAATCGTTGCCGAAATTTCAAATCATTTGATTTTCGGCAATGATTGCCGAAAATTGGGAGGTGTGGTCAAGGAAGGTCAAGGTTGATGAATGACACGTTTCTTGGCCAGCCAATGAAAAGCGTTATGAAGACATATATTGCAGGTGAAATATTGCAGGTGTAGCCACCTTGTGCGACGGCAACGCAATGCTGTTATCACCCATTGCGTAACCATCGCAGCAAAAATATTGCTCGTGTATCCGAAGCTTAAAGCATCGTGTAAACCGAATAATTTTAAACTTTATAGCACAAATAATAGAGAATTTGTCGACAGGAAGCTTATTTTAGTTTAGTTTAACAACTGAAATGAGCGCCGGACAAAGTGACAGACACAATCGAATTTGTGCCTGTCAAAACACTGCAAATCGCGTATACGTGCCGGTCAATGACCGTGACCGGACGCTTATTTCCAGGCTTGAAGTCATCGCCAAAATATTTCGTGAACAAGATGCTAGACTTTGCGAGTGCGAATCCTACTCGAGACGACGAGCGTTTTTCGTCAGTCTGATGTCAGAAATAAAATAATTTCGCTATTTCTACTTACATTATTTCATTTGCACAAGGCATTGTCCCAATGAAGTATCCACCCGGTTTTAGTCTTTCACAAGCATTCTGTAACATTTTCTCCGCTTGCTCAGCGGACTCGAAGGCATAATGGAGAGCAAACTGACAGCTGGTCATGTCAAATTTAACATCTTTGTTTCTGCCGTTAAATTTATCAGTAATATCATCCTAAACGGAAAATAAACGTCGTATTGTAATTAAGGAAAAGTAGATCGGGGGTGGATCTACCGTGGGGTGCAGGGGAGGGGGGTGTACACACCCCACCTGATCCACACCCTGCGTTGTGGTGTCTAGCATCTGTGTCATACATCCAACTTTCCAGTCCCAACTCAATGTTATGAACACACTAAAATCCCCTTAACGAGTAAAATCATCTGGCATTAGTGTAAAATGATCTGGCATTATACACAGTAAAATGATAAAGTAGGGTGCATTAGAGTGTGTTGCCGCTTAAAGGGTTAAATATCAAATAAACAAACCTTCGTGCAGTCTGCAGTAATGAACTGTGCATCATATATTTTCTGTGATTGATTATATCTTCGATGATTTCTGCTATATCTCAAATCTTTGTACCTCTGTTCACACTGCTTCATAGATACTTCAGCAATGTCTGAAGGATAGAAAATTTTCCTGATTGTGAGTGAGCTCAAACATCAAGTACAATGTCATGGCTGTCCATCACCTACCTGCACAAACAAGGTTTGAGATTCTTGCTTTCTGCCATTTTAGTAAATCTCCACCTTTCCCACATGCAAGGTCTAACACAGAGAGGTTGTGATACGTCTTCCTAAAACATGATGAACAAGCAACATTATGGGATATAAATTCATGTCTTGCTATTTATGGTTAAGAACTTTGGATCAACTTGTAGGATTAGAACTCTTAAACTGAAAAACATGAAAGAGACCAAACACTGAAAAGCAGGGCTTTCAAAATAAGCTAGCAGCTGCCAGAGCTCCAGCGAGTACCATGAGGTTTACCGCTAATTACTTTGTTTAATCAGTACTTGAAATATCAGTTCTGCTCTCCTTCCTCCACTCTTTTTTTACACAAAGTTATTTTTCCTCAACCTGGTCTACTTTATAGCCCAGTTATTTTCGAAAATGACATACTATTTTTATTTACCATCATAAATCTTGAAGTTATCTTGTTGAAGAATGAAAGTAGTGATACATTATAATTTGGTTACAGAGCTCGGTTGTGTTGCTATCCAATCAATATACACCATTTGAACCAGTTGATTTGGATGACTTAAAAACTTTCCTGGACCACTCACCACATCTGCATAATTCTGAAAACCCTGGGGGGCTTAGTTATGACATTTAAACTACATGTATACCTTTTATATTTTTCCATAAATTCATTGATCAAGACACTCTTCACCCAGTTGTTGAAGTTTCTGAGATAAAATATTGGTGATTGTTTTCTCTCCTCGCGAGTGTTGTCTTTGTGCTCATTGTAATGTTTGGCAACAGTAGCTCCATGGCCTTTCTCCACTTCCTACACACAATTACAGTTGATTATTGAGTGTTGTTCATGGTTGATTATTGACACTGGACTGTATTTGCCTTAACAGGGGTGGAAAAAATATCGAACCACAGGACTGTCGGTCCCAGAAATTTTTTTGAAGTTCCCAGAAAAATTTTAAATAGAAGGTGAAATTCAGAGGGAAAATTCTAACCAATAGAAAGAACGTTACCTGTACTATAGATGATATGAGCTCAGAAATGCAAAACTGTAAGTCCATCTATCTTAATAGTGCAATAGTGTATAAATGTATGGACTATAGAATGTTGTATGGCAAAAGCATTTTTAAAATGTCAGACACCAGATTTTCAAAATTTTCTAGGCAGACAAATATTTTTTGTATTAATGGGTAAAATACAAGTTCGTCTTGCAAGAGTTTACCATGGGTTCCTCGCTTTTTGCCTGTTGTGTGTCTTCACTGGATTTATCTTGTTGTGGTTCTAAATCAAATAAAATTCAATTCAATATCTAAAGGTTGAAAAATTAATATAAAATAGACAGTTTTGCATTGTATATTATGTGTATACTGTAGTAACCAGATCATTCTTTACAGTAATTGAAGTCAGTACAATACCTTCAGTAGTTTCTTCTTTTTTCTCAGAAACTTGATCTCCAGTTTCATTTTGAGACTCTTTGGCTCCTTCCTCCTCCTTCTCAACTACAGTAACACAGAACATATGTATGGCTGAATATACTTGCAAATTTTCCAGTTATTTTTTAAAAGGTTTACCCACTACAATGGCCCTGTTAACCCAATGACTGTCAAGCATTTTCACCCTGTCCCTGTAAAGTAAAATCATCTGGTCTTAGATATTTTACTTTTGCAAGCACATTCATGTACTGCATTGTATATTATGTGTACAGTAACCAGACCATTCTTTACAGTAATTTAAGTCAGTACAATACCTTCAGTAGTTTCTTTTTTCTCAGAAACTTGATCTCCAGTTTCCTTTTCATTTTCATTTTCAGACCCTTTGGCTCCTTCCTCCTCCTTCTCAACTACAGTAACACAGAACATATATGTATATATGGCTGAATATATTTGCAAATCTATGAAAGTTTCACACACTATTGCAAGGGCCCTGTTAACTCAATGAGAGCCAAGCACTTTCACCTTGAAAAGTCAAATCATCTGGCCTTAGACATTTTACTTTTACAAGAAAATTTACTGTACTGCATTTGCTATATACTATGTGCACAGTAACCAGAACATTCTTTACAGCAATTGAAGTCAGTACAAATACAATACTGTACCTTCAGTAGTTTCTTTTTTCTCAGAAACTTGATCTCCAATTTCATTTTCAGACCCTTTGGCTCCCTCCTCCTTCTCAACTACAGTAACATAGAACATATGTATGGCTGAATATACTTGCAAATTGCCAGCTATTTTTTTAAAAGGTTTACCCACTACTTAACCCATTGAGCACCAGCACTTTCACCCTGAAAAGTAAAATCATCTGGCCTTAGACATTTTATTTTTACAAGAAAATTTACTGTACTGCATTTACTGTGTATTATGTGTACAGTAACCAGATCATTCTTTACAGGAATTGAAGTCAGTACAATACCTTCAGTAGTTTCTTTTTTCTCAGAAACTTCATCTCCATTTTCATTTTCAGACTCTTTGGCTCCTTCCTCCTCTTTCTCAACTACAGTAACACAGAACATATGTATGGCTGAATATACTTGCAATTTGCCAGTTATTTTTTAAAAGGTTTACCCACTACTGCAAGGGCCCTGTTACCCATTGAGCACCAGCACTTTCACCCTGAAAAATAAAATCATCTGGCCTTAGATATTTTACTTTTACAAGCAAATACTGCATTGTATATTATGTGTATAGTAACCAGACCATTCTTTACAGTAATTTAAGTCTGTATAATACCTTCAGTAGTTTCTTTTTTCTCAGAAACTTCATCTCCAGTTTCATTTTCAGATCCTTTGGCTCCTTCCTCCTCTTTCTCAACTACAGTAGGTAACACAGATTGACAGAACATAGATGGCTGAATATACTTTTGCAAATTGCTAGTTATGCATACATGATAAAAAAACAATTATAAACTTTATAAACAAAAGATAATGTAACAGAAAGGCAAACATGTAAATTTGGTCATCTCAAATATTAACGGTAATGTTGCAATAGTAGCATTGTAGACTGCAGAGGAGAGTGGGCAGTAAAGCTCCCTCATGCACCACCCCATGGAAAATGTGCACCTGGTTAAAGTTGCTTTTCCCTGACGGGAGTGTAGGTTGTAAAGAGTCTGTGGTAATGAAGATATTATTGGTAATATTGCATAAGCTTTTATGTGTGATATTTATCTTATATATAACTACCTTCTGGTGTTGCTTCTTCTGTCTGTTCAGAACTCTCTTTATCTTTGGAAGGTTCCTCTTTACTCTCACCTAACCAAATGCAATTTGACTATTATGTTACTAATTCCTTGCAGGTATGCATTCTGAAAATAATTATAATTGTTATATATGCTGTTGTGGTATTGTTCACTTGGTAACATAAAGGGATAAAATGTTCTCAGGTGAATAATTCCAAACTGTGCAAGAAGAAAATTATGAAAATTCTGCAACCTTCAACTTTATGTATGAACCTCTAAAAAATTGAAACACGACTCACAGAACACCGAAACACGACTCACAGAACACGAAACATGACTCAAAGAACACCGAAACACGACTCACAGAATACCGAAACGCTATTGAAAGACACGACTTTACGATCACTTCCTGCCACACATACTTACGACAATTGTCACACATTTAACAGGACACATTCACACAAAACATGCCCACAGCGTGGACAAAAACACTATTAACAGGTACATTGACATTCCTACTGTCTACTTACAACTAAAACAACTTAAATTATAATAAAATAATTTAATTATACATTATCTGTAGTGAATTTAAGCTGTCACAAGTGTAATTTCGAATCTTGTGTCTATCATAAAACCACATCATCTTTTTTACAGTAACTAAGTAATCACTGAATGCACACTCTATCAAAACGCCTGCCATTGACCACTTGCATTTATACTCGGAGGTTGATCATGTGTAAAATCTGTCATCATGTTATTATTTTCTACGCATGATGTATCACAAAATATAAAACATTAAATACACAAAACCACTACATTTCACAACTAAATTTGACTCCATAATAAATTATACCTTCAGGAGCAGCTTCGTCTGTTTGGTGTCCATTTTCATTCCCCTTCGGGGCCTCCTCTTGTACTTCAGCTAAAACAATAAAGTCAAAGTGCATGTGTTGTCACAAATCACAACTGTTTCCCGCCTTAAAAAGCCGCCACAAAAGCTCGAAATTGCCGAGTAAAAGGAAAGTAAATGGCTAGTAAAATACCTATGGATTGTTCTTCGTCCATCGGTTCGGGCTGGTCTTTTTCAAGAGACTTTGTAGCGTCTTCCATCTGTACAGTTTCGCTTCCTTCGGAATCGGCCATCTTGAATTCTCCACACGTGTGTACTTTTTACCCACAATGCAACTGCTGCACACGAGGTATGTGACTGCTATCACGACCGAGCCTCTGTGACGAGCTCTTTTTGACGATGGTCGAGGTGCGTTTGAACATATGGTTTGAATGAATGATTGGACGAGTGCAGTAAGCCTCGAATGAAGAGGTCTGCCACCCGGGGACCTGAAAGTTTCCACGGAATTTTTTTTTTGGGTACTCGGGCAAAATTCCTAAAAGTCGGGCAAATTTCATTCTGCCCCACTAATTTTTCCTTCCTTAATTAACGCCTATGATCTCCCATGGTTTTTTAGAGAACAAGGCCAGATCAGTTTTGTAATGGAAACGCCGGAACAAAGCCTGAAAAGTCATAGGGAACATGAAAAGCATTCGACGTCTCGAGCTTCATGTGGAGTCGAATGGAGTCGAAAATTGTCAGAGTACTATACTATAGTATATGTCTACTTAGCGTAGACAATCGCCAGTGGTTTCTCTGAAATTATAAGCGCCAAAACATTTCCTCTTCAGTCTTCACCACAGAAATATCAGGAGAAAGCTTTCTTGTTGTTAAAACATAAATTTTACACGATATGATGGATCAACTTTATTTAAAAACACACTAATCTTGGCAAAGATTACTGATTAGAATAAATCCCTCCCCCCATTAATTACCTATATGATGTATGTTCATTACTGATTTCATAAATTATATAAATATTATGAATTTGTTAACTAATACTACTAAAAATTAGTAAAGAAATCTAAGAAAATTACTACTATAATTTAAGCATGATAATTGCTAAATGAAATAGTCGAGCGGAAGAAAGCTTTTCACAAAACGAATTATAAGATGCCGAAGATCTTATGTCTTCCGGAATTTGATTCCAGACATGAGCCCCATTGTAACTGAAACTATTTTTTAGACATTTTGTTCTAGGCCTGGAAAGGCAAAGTCTAGTTGAAGATCCTCTCAAATCATAATCATACATTGTACTTGAATTCTGAAAAAAGTTACTCAGTCTTTGGGGAGCTAAAGTTACTCAGTCTTTGTACATAAGTCTGGCTTTCATTTGTGCTCTGCGCTCTTCAAGGATATTTTTCAGGCTGAGGTGATATCTTTGGATCCACAATTCCACATAGTCGGCTATTGCATCAAAATTTAACCTTGTACTCTACAGTGTTGATATATGAATGGCCACTCTCAAGTCACTTCTCGTAGTTATGATGAATAGCTATTAATTTTCTAAGTCCAATAGTCACTTCGAAGTCAAATATAAGTCCTTATTTTTCACATTGCTCTGTTTCCTTTGTACTTATCGGGGAATATATTCAATATTCCCCTCTAATCAATTTCCGTTTAATAATCCCTCTAATATTCACCTGTAATGTCGTTGCAGCACGGCAATATATGGTATTAAGAATTATTTCTATTCTGACTCATTAAACTGATTAACGCGACCTCGCAATTCGGTGAAAAATAAATACGTTATTTTGAGGCAACCGGAGTAGCCTGCGAATACAGACGCCTCGCATCGGGCGAAATGTAGCGCCCGAGTAGTCTCCCTCGGGCGCTACATTTCGCCCGATGTGAGGCGTCTGTATTCGCAGGCTACAACCGGAG